TGGATCCTACAAGAACTCCACATCCAAGTGTGTTTAATCTCCAAAACACAGTCACTGTCCATGTCTGAAGTAAATATATCAGGACATACTCATCTCTAAAGTCCTCTTTTCTCATGCTGTTCCCTTCACTGCCATCCACCTCGGGATTGCTGCTATTATGGGATTCCTCACTGGGTTCATGCTTGGCCAATATTTGACTTCTCTTTTTTTGTTTCCTGTGAAAACCATCTGAAACTAAGCAGAAACTAACCTTGATTTATTTCTTTAATAAACAAAATTAAGATGCTGCATGTTAATAAAAATGAAAAGTATTCCCCAGTTGTTGGGTTTTTTTTAAAGTTTCCAAAAACAGTCCCATATCTCTGTCAAAGTTAATGTAACCAGAATTTCCATGGGAATTTCTGTCAGTCTGGGGAAACTGGAACTGGCTAATGTAAATAACTACAGCCCATCCTCCCACTGCTGTCCACATCACCTTGTGAGAAAGAAAAGGGCTTTATTCAGAAAGGAGAGTGTCATCGTGGGGGTTTTGTGGATTACAACTCGGATGGGATAACAAAATTTTACAGGAACATTCTGTCAAAGCCAGACAGAAATTATTAAAATGACAAATCATGACTTGAATTTCATGGGATTCCTTGCAAAACCCTTTTCTTTTTTGGCACCGATTCCAAAATTACCTAAAGACACTGTAAGAACAGATCATTCTTTTATGATTTTATGAGTAGCTTTCTACATGGGCAAATAGTTTTACAGGCTGACATTTCTGTTTCTTTTAATAAGCCTAAGCACGTAAAATATGTATTTAAGGAGTACCTGGCCTGTATATTTTGGCTGAGGTCGGGCTGAGAACTAATTCCCAACTGCCTCTAAAATTCCCAAACACTCAAAAACCCATCTTGGATAACAAAACTCCCCTGTACCTTCCTGGACACGGCAACTCCATTTTACTGGGGTAGCAACTTCGTAGCACAGTAACTAGTTAATATTAGCTGTTAAATATTAGTTCATATAATATAAAATGAGCTCCTATTTTGAAAATGGAATATTTCTTCCAGATGGGCTTTGCAACGGAGCAGTGCTTGTGGAAGGACACAAACCACAGGCAGGCTGAGAGCATAGCATTGCAAATGCTGTGCAGATTTTAAAGGAAACCACCACGTGTGTGGTCACAGGAGGAGCTCAATGAGCCTGGCAGGGAGATCCTGTCCTGCCACTGGAACTGGTTTTCAGCTCTATTCCTCCAGCAGGGCCTGAGAAATCCTGTGACAGCACAGAGCAGGAGCATCTTCCCCCTGGGAAGATATTGGGAGTTCAGAGGGGTTCCTGTGGATGCCCTGGATCTGACATGGATGCTGTAACATATCCATATTTATATCCCTATAGCTTGGAATTTCTGGGGCTGGCAGTGCACACAATGGGGCATTGAGAGCCAGGCAGCACAGCTGAAAACCAGGCAGCAAAGGCAACTGTGCCAGGGGGATTTAGGGAAGGGCCCTGCCAGCCTTGTCAGGGAGCTGACATTGGCTTGAACCTTAATATAATAGTGCAATAAATCAGCTGGGAAGCAAGAAATAGTAACTGAATACTCTGCATTAGAGCAGTGAGTCAGCCAGAGCCAGCATGGAATTCTCTGTTCCCACCCTGCCCTGCCATTCCCGAGCCCGGGGGAACATGGAGGGATGGGATAATGGGATGGGATGGGATGAGATGGGATGGGATGGGATGGGATAACGGGATGGGGTGGGATGAGATGGGATGGGATAACGGGATGGGGTGGGATGAGATGGGATAACGGGATGGGATGCTCAGCCTCTCCCTGCAGGGCAGCAGGAGCTCGCGTTCCCTGCCACATTGCAGGCACAGCAGGAGCACTCCAGGAAGGGAAAATAAATCCCTAAAACTCCCGGGAAAGGGTCTCCAGTGCTCTTAGTGCAGCCCTGTGTCTGGAAGCAGAATTAGCTTTATTTGTGCTGTACCTGAAAGATGTTTGTTTAACCTGCTCTGAAAAGTCCCAGTGACAATCCCAGCCTCAGTACAATCCTCACTCAAAGGTACAACATTATTTTGCAATATATTTTATTCCTCACGTGCTCCAGCAGTCCTGCAGGACAATGCAGCTCTGTCTTGTGCATTTTACCATTTCTAAACTGGGTTCTCTCAGCCTTGTCCCTCTCTCTCCCCATGGCTCCTGACAGCAGTGAGACATTTCCGCCTCCCTGGGCTCCGCTGTGACCTTGAGGGCTGCAGTTCTCAGCCTGTGATTGGGGCAATGCCTGCTCGTCTGCTGCCTCATCATAAAAAGGGACGTTTGTGAGAGTGTCTGTACAATTATTGATAGAAGAAATTGATAGATAAAAGAAACGTGGCATGATTCATCCAAAGCCTGTCCTTCAGACAGCAAGTTCTGTCTGCAGCATGACTTGGGCTTATCAGGAGCAGGAGCAGATATCTGGTTGAAGAAACAGGAGTGTGACTGAGTTAACTGAGGGGCTGGCTGTGGGTTCCCTCCAAGGCTGCACACTGATAATGAAATGTGAGTGGCCTGTAGCTCCTCGTGTTTTGTCTGCTTCTCCCTGCAGTGAACATCTCATAGTAAATGTGTCTGCACAAAGAGAAAATACAGATACGGCTAGCAGAGGTAAACCCCACTTTCATTCAAGTGAGACTTCATTTGACCAATTTAGATGGAATTTTGAATCAGAGTGACATCTTTGATGCTGGGTCACTTTCATTTTGTTGCCTGGAATATTTTAATTTGGGTATTTTAATGGCAGAGCTCTGAGAATGAACCTGAAGTTATCAGAGCAGCTCTGTATTTGGTGGCAGGAATACATCAGGCCCCTCTGAGGTTGGGTTTCAACACTTCTTATGTGAATCAACATTGAAACAAATTAAAATTCCTGAGCTGGTGTATCAAGTGAAGGTCTGTAGGCAATAACTGCAAGAACACAAGCTGAGTATTCTCATGTTTTGTGCAATAAATTCTGTCTGGCCTTGTAACCACTATTGCCTGCCCTTTGGCTCACCATAAAAATAGGAATGAGAGATAAAATACCTCCTAAGAAGGACATATTATTACAACTTTTCATCGGGGAAATCACTCATCTCTGCTGGGAATCAGAATTCTGTGCTGAGAGTCTGTCCCTGGAGCCAAATTGTCTTTATCCTCTTTGTGTGACAGTGGCACCTCCCAGGGTTACCTCAAAACAGGAGCAGGTGTGTCGTGGGTGGAGGTGTGGCTGTGGGTTTGGTGAGCAAGGCTAAAGCTGTAGAAAAAGGGATGCTGGGTTCTAAATTGTGAAAATGCTTTGTATTTTATTCAGGTGCATTTATTTTATTGTCGCACAGCATGCCCTGCTGAGGAGCTGGCTCTGAGCTGCAGGATCAGCCTCGCCTGGTGGGACAGCGGTGCCTGGTCAGGGTGGCCACTGAGCCTCGGGCTTTGTTCCAGAGCCAAATGAGTGGAACATTGTCCCTGCGTCCCCCACACCGCTAATAAATCATCTCCCCGTGTGTCTCCTGCTCCTGCTCGTGGAGTGGGGACATCACCGCATCCCGGCGGGGACAGCCCTGCATCCCGGCAGGGACAGCCCTGCATCCCGGCAGGGACATCACCGCATCCCGGCGGGGACAGCCCTGCATCCCGGCAGGGACATCACAGCATCCCGGCGGGGACATCCCTGCATCCCGGCGGGGACATCCCTGCATCCCGGCGGGGACATCCCTGCATCCCGGAGGGGACATCACCGCATCCCAGCGGGGACATCCCGGCGGGGACATCACCGAGCGGAGCCGGGAGCACATTCCCTGCCTTTCCCCGCCGGGAGCATCCCTTGGCCGGGGCCGGTAGACGGGGCCGGGACACCGTGTCCCCACCTCTGCCAGGGCGGGACGGGGCCCACACGGCGGGGATGGAGCGGGACCGATGAGTGAGGATGGAACGGGACCGATGGGCGGGGATGGAGCGGGACCGATGAGTGAGGATGGAACGGGACCGATGGACGGTGATAGAACGGGACCGATGGGCGGGGATGGAGCGGGACCGAAACCTCCCCTGGAACAGGAATGGCGCGGGACTGCGGTGAAGCAGGACCAGAACCCCCTGGGAGGGACCGGATTTCCCTCTGGGCTAGGACGAAGCGGGACAGAACCACCATCAAGGATGGAGCGGGA